AGCGCGGCAAAACGAACGCCCAAGCCGGGCTGTCCGTAACGCTGGAACCAAGGACCGTGGACGCGGGACTAGCGCAGGCCGCGACACCGTTGTGCCCCAACTCTCTTCTTTGCGTGTCGTCGATGCGCAGGGGCCAGACTAATCTATTAAGACGCGCAACCACACACTAACTCACAAAATCATATGTTGGGTGCTTCGTTGTCGGGTTTCCAGTGCGCACGTCGAAGATCGCACCTGATTCACCGAAGTGCTTCAACCGGCTACTTAGGGTCCACTACGAGCACCACATCAGAAGCACACGAACACTTAGACAGGATAAGCCGGGTCGCCTGGACCATGAGCACCCCCGGTCATGTTCCCCTTCGGAAAAGAATCAATCATTGTTCCCTATCAACGAACACTCCCTCCCCCAGGCGACCGGCAGCCAACCAGGACCAATGAGAACACACACACATCGCAATCCCTTTCAAAAAACACCACGAAGCACACTTTGGGACAAAATCTTGGGTCAAGCTCGCGGACCCCGCGAGCACTTTGTATTGTTGCTTAACTGGGACGGCAGGGGTGCCCTCATATTGCCTGCTCTGCGCAAAGCCGCCATCCTTGATCAAAACAATCAATACAACATGCAATTCGCGGCTAAATCTGGATCATGCGCAGCCAGCTCGCGATCACTGTCCGTTGGCGTTTGACACGGGCCGCGGCGGTGGTGGCATATTGCCTGCTGCGCGCAGGCCCACCAGACACCATGATGGCCTCCCCGCCGCGATTGTGCACTGGCTTTCGACAAGGATGGTGGGGGCCGACATGTCTCTCGATGTGCTGTCACGTGCGCGGGCGCGCCTGGCACACTCTGCGCGTGCCCTGGACTTGGCGCACCTGGCGCGGCTGGACCATGCGGCACACATGGCATACGTGGAGCACATGGCGCACTGGCGCGCGAGGCGTGCCTGGCACGCTTGGGCACCAGGGGTGCCTGGCGCACCTGGGGCGCCTGGCGCGCGTGGCGCACCTCGCCCCATCGCGCACATGGGGTTGCCCATCCATTAGTGGCCGATGAACATGCTGAGGCCCGGCGTTTGCTATGTGTTGGGAGGGCGGGTGGGAGTGAGCGAGACAGCTTGCGGGGGGGGAGGGTGTCTTGACTCCTCCACCTACCCCTCACCCCTGGACCTGGAGGGGGTTTTGCGAGGTGCCAGAGGGTCTTTCTAGGCTTCGGCGACCAGGCCGAAATCACTGATTGCACTTATGCGTTGGCCACATGTTGGCCTCGGGGGGGACCTGGCATGGGAGCTTCCCTCCTTTGATCGATCTCCTCCAAGATGGCCCAGAGAAGGTACCCAAGGCTCCTAAGACGCCCCAAGAGGGCCCCCCAGAGGCACCCAAGACGGCCCAAGAGGCCTCGGCGAGAATGCCAAGCGCGCGGGCAATCAGAAGCGGGGTCCCATTGGATCATGGGCCAACCAGGCGCGGGTGGCGGATGAGAGAGTGCGACAGCGCCCGAGGGCGGAGACGAGCAGCACAGCGACGTGGCCACAGGACGCCGACAGACAGCAAGACGGGAGAACGACTGCTCAGGAGCACAAGACGCGCAGAGGTGGCGGAGGACACAGCCGACGCCGCAGGACGCCGCCGAGGCGGCGGCCGAAAGGCCGAAAGCGGAAACAGGGGCCAGAGCGCGACCAAAGCGTCAGAGGTGCGCGCGATGCATTCACCGGGGACGAAAAGTCGCAGAGAGCCGCACAGCCAGCAGCTAGCCGAGGCGAGAGGGCGCGAAGGAGGGCGGCGTGACAGAGCTGGCGACGGTCAGCGCTCGGGACGAAGGCGGGGGCGGGGGGGCCACGGCAGGTCTCCAGAAGGACCACGCTTCTGACAGCTAGGCTCCTCGGCCAGTGCCACCCGCCGAACCTCCCGCGTTAACCGGGCGGGGGCGGCGATGCGAAAGCTGCTGAGCTGGTCGGGAGGCAGCGCAGCACTCGGGGCACAGCTCGGGTTCCGCGTCCTCGCCCACGTCAGCGCCGCGAAGAAGGACCCAGTTACGCCAAAGTTGTGTCGCCTGCACAGCGGAAGGGGCACCATCGGCGAGCAAGGACAGTACGCGGCTGACGAGGCTCATCCGAAAGATCTCATCCTCGGCCCGCTGGGGGCAGGGCGAAGCGGCACCGATGGCGCTATCCGCGCCTGAAGATCCACGGCGCTGGGAGCCGGCGATGGCGGCGGAGGCGAGTTGACAGGGAGCGCGCCAGGCAAGGGGGTAGCAGCCGCTCGAGGCAGACCCCGAGCCCGAGCGGCCTGGTCGGGGGCGGCGGCGACCTGGGGCAGCGGAAGCGCCCAGGCTAGAGCCAGCGCCCAGCTAGAGCCAGCGCCAGGTAGATCCACCGGGCAGAAGGGATCCACTGGGGAGGCAGGGCGCAGGCCATGGCGTCGCCCAAGTGCAGCAGGGGCGACAGCCTGTGTAGGGGCCGCGCAACCACTGGCTCTGGGCTGCGGCCGCCACGGCGGCCTCAGAGCCCGAGGAGGGGGCGGGGCGGAGGGCGCAGGAGGCGGCGGCGGCAGGGGGGGCGAGCTCGGAGCCGGGCTTGGGCCGAACACGCCGGCGGATGGCACAGACCTCCTCCGGGGAGGAGGCGGCAGATGCCGCCCTGGCCAGGACTGGCGCCCCGCCTCAAAATGAAGCTGCACAGGTGGGAGTTGGATAGCGGCGAGACGCGGGGGCGGTCGGCGGGGCCTTGGGCGCAGGAGGCTGGTCAGCCCAAAGCACACGCCGCGCAGGGGCGGAGGGGCTGCCCCTGGTCTCTGACCTGGCCAGGGCAGGGGACGCAGGTGCCGAACTGGGCGGGGCGGCGCCCACATGGCTTTCAAGCGGCCCTCCCTAGGCTGCTGTTTCACAAGTGGTTTGGCAAGCTCGCGCTGCTGAGTGAGCGCGAGAGACCGCCAGTCGCCCAAGCGGTGCGCGCTCCAACCGCCAACGACCGCGCCCGCATTCTCAGGGTGGCTGGGCCTGGGGTCGTGGCGCGGGGCGATTCGCGTCCCCGAGGCCAGCCACGATCACTAGTAATTTACGCGATGTTCGCGTCTCCTAGGCCAGAATCCCCCGTACGTCATACAAGATTCGCGTCCCCGAGGCCACGATTCCTTGCGAATCACACCGTATTCGCGTACCCGACGCCACGATCACTAGTAAAGTATACCATATTCGCGTCCCCGAGGCCACGATCACTAATAACTTACGCGATGCTCGCGTCCCCGAGGCCACGATCCCTTGCGAATCACACCGTATTCGCATACCCGAGGCCAAGAGCACTTGTGAAATATACCAGATTCGTGTCCCCGAGGCCACGATCACTAGTAACTTACGTGATGCTCGCGTGCCCGAGGCCACGATCACTGCTAAAGTATTCAATGTTCGCGTCTCCAAAACCACGATCCTTAGTAAAATATGCTATGCTCGCGTCCTCGAGGGCTCCCTACACAAGTCTAAACAAAAATTGAACAACGTCGTCCTTCAGTCGAAGGGAAACCCCTTCCCTTGATCCCTTCCCCGCCGAGGGGGGGGGGGGTCCCGGGGCAATTCCCAGGGGGGTCCCAGGGCAACTCCCAGGGGGGGGTCCCCCCTCGGATACGCAGCCCCCCGCCTCTCATCCTCCTGCGTCCTCGGGCTCCGTTGGCCCTCCGGGGCCGTCTGCGGGCCCTTTCAGCCTATCTTAAGGCTCCTTGGAGACATTTCGCAATTTTTTTACTCTCTTGGCAGCCTCTGGCGGCACTCTTGACAGCCTCTGCGGGCGCTTTTAGACCTCGCTTGACGCCGTCTTGGAACCCTCTCGGGCCACTTGAGTGCGCGCTTTGCCTATCTTGGCACTCTCTGGAGCCGTTCCCGAACCCTGGAGGAGGCCTCTTGAGCGCAAATTACACCGTATTCGGGTTCCCGAAGCCATGATCCATCACAAATCAAGCTGTATGTGCGTCCCCGAGGCCACGATCACTCGCAAAGTATAAACTTTTCGCGTCGATACCACGATCTTTTATGAATTACGCCGTGTTCGAACCCCCGAGGCCACGACCCCTAATAAGAAGTTACCCTATACTCGCGTCCCCGAAGCCACTCTCCCTGGTAAAACAGTCCAAAGAACCCAAAGACCATCCAAGACGCGCGATCCAACGTAGCCTCAAGCAGCCCCCAGTCGTTCCACGAGGGTCCCCAATTCACAGCGTGAGGGGAAGTTCCAACAAAAAACAGAGTTCAACAACATCGTCTGGATTTCAATGTGTCTTGAAGATTACCAACCACCCTCGCATGAGGTTTCGATATTGCTTCACGACGGCGCCCAAAGCATCCCACCAGAATTCCTGCATCATGATAGAGAGGGGGCCGGCGGCAGAGGGCCAAGCCCTTACGGATATTTGTTCGAACAAAGTCCAAAGGAGTAATACGAGGAGGGCAAAGAGAATGGGGAAGGGAAGGGGGGTCTCAGTCTCACGGGGGCCCCGAAGCTTCCCAGGAGTCCTTGGAGGCCTCCGGGGGCTTCTAGAGGCATCCAGAAGCCCTTGAAGGACACAAGCGTCCAAAACCTCGATCCTCGATCCTCGAGGAGGAGAGGGAGGGAGAAGCCGTGCCTCTCCTTAAACCCGATCCTGCATTTTCGGTCCTGGATCCTCTCTCGACCCTCAAACCTCCCTGGATCCTCCTGGCCCCGAGCCTCTCGTCGGACACGATCCCCTTCTCAACACCGATCCCCGATCCTTGACCCGCATGCCTTGCATATCCCGTCCCCTCGATCTCGACCATCATCCGATCAAGATCGGCCCTCGGGCCCATCCCGAGGTCCATCCGAGCCCTTTTCCGTTTCGGATCATGCCTGACGGTCCGGGGACCCGAAGACGGCTTCCAGGGCTCAGAACAGCAGCAAATCCCGATCCTCGATCCGCGGCGTCCTCCACGTCGCCAGGCTCCGCGCCTCTCCCCAGGCCCAGCGAGTGAGGAGGGGCGGAGGCGAGCGCGCCTCGACGACGGAGCGGTGATTCCACGCGTCCACCTCGCCCCCGGCGAAGACCGCGAGGACGGAGAGGCCTGCCGCCGAGAGACTCTCTGAGAGTCGTCGCGAGATAAAAAAAGAAAGCAGCACAGCAGAAGCAACAGCAACAAACAAACGAAAACAAGCATCAAACAACACAAGACCCGAAGAAAAAACGCCACGGCCAGAGGTTCGCCGTTTCGGGCCTCTGGAGGATGTCTTTCGAGGCCTGGAGGGGCCCGCCACCGAGAGACCCTCGCATCTGCCGTGCCGCTAGAGTCATGAAGGCAAATACTGCTGCCGATTCGGGCCTCTGGGGGGCGTTTTCTGGGGCCCGGGACCGGCAAAAATGGCCCCGAGGCTCCCGAGAGAGGCCCCAGGCCCCAGATAGGCCCCGTAAAAAGAATGCGAGAGGCCCGCATCCCAGGACGCCGTGGAATTCCCGACGAGGTCCCCAGAGCACCTCGCGTCCACAACCCAGGAGCAGTGGCGGCATGGGCCCAGGGCCACTAGATACTGCCCACACATGCACATGTCGTGACGTCACTCGCAGGGACAGCCTGTGCAATCGTGTACGATTGTGTCTGACTTTGCACGGGAGGACGACGAGGAGGGGGGCCCGTACGGTGGTCAGATAGGCAGTGCGGCAAGAACGTTACGACGACGAATATGGCGTAGCGTCTGCTTGAGCTGCCGCGGGCCATCCACGATGCTGTGTGAGCGGCATGTGTTGAATGGGAGTGTGAGATTCAAAGGGTAGGGGCAGAGTGTTCGCGATACGGCTTGGGGTTAGCGTCGTTGTGGAATATCAGGGTTGGGGTATGGATTCGGGCTCGCATTGCGTTAAAGTACAGAAGCATGGGGTGCGGAGTTCCAGGAAGACCATTACAATTGACCCCTTGATTCCTCCTCATCCTCCTCCTCCTTCTGCTCCTCCTCCTCCTCCTCCTCCTCCGCCTCCTCCTTCTCCGTCTCCTCCGCTTCCGCCACAGAAGTCAACGAGTCAGTCGGGAAGACGCTACTGCACTGCGTACTCTCTCCCCTCCCCTCGATTTTTTCTCGCACTCAAGGCTTGACCGACAGCTTTGGAGGTCAGGTCCGCCAGCGTGGCCCGACCGATCAATGTTGGGCACGAGGAGTACCAGGACAGAGTGAGGAGAGGCGGGACTCTCTATATTGGCGGCTTCGTCGTCGAGGCATGGCTGAACACGTCTCGAAGAGATGCCATAGCGAAGCACGGTGACCAAAAAGCATGCTACGATCACAGTGCCGAAAAAGGTCTCAAGCACGGTGATAAACAAATGTTCGAGGAAGTCATGTAGACGCACGCGAGCGGGCGTCCCCGACATTGACTCCACTCCGCCACACAGAAACGTACAAGACATCCGTCTGATCACCCTCCTCCTCCAACTCCTCGCTCTCCTCCTCCTCCCCATCCTCCTCCTCCTCCTCCTCCTCCTCCTCCTCCTCCTCCTCCTTCTCATCCTCCTCCTCCTCCTCCTCCTCCTTCTCCTGGCCCCTCCTCCCGCTCACCCTCACCCTTGCCAGGCTCCTCCCCGTCTCCTGCGCGGCGGCCTGCAAAACTGCCCACGGACACTGGCAGCACGTCGATCCCAAGGCGCACCCCCTCGCGCCTCGCAGAGAGGAGAACACTGAGGGTCGTTCCCTCCCTCCCCCTTCTCGCCGAGAACTCAACGAGGCTCGGGCCGTCGGAATTCTCGTAGGCACGAAAGTGTACTGGGATGATAACGCAGAGGATGAGGATCATGGGGGACTGGAAGGATGTGCGACGAGGAGGCCGGGGAGAAACGATGAAAAAGAAGGGCGGGGCGAGGGAGGGGGAGGGAAGAAAACACAAACGGAGGTGGGGAGGGGCGCCGAAGGGGGGGTCGATGAGGTGCCATCCTCACACCCACCCATCCTCCTCATCCTCCTCCTGCATCCTCCTCCTCCTCCTCCTCCTCCTCCTCCTCCTGCATCCTCCCACCTGCATCCTCCCACCTCCTCCTGCATCCTCCCACCTCCTCCTCATCACCCTCATCATCCCCTACCTCCTGCCTCCCCCCACCACCACCACCATCACACCAACTCAAACTTCTCGCCGTCGCGGCCATGCGCGCAGCGGCGCGGCGGAGCCAGTCGGAGGAGGACCTGGAACTGCCTCCGAGGCCACGGAAGCGGCCGGAGGCTACACACACATGCTGTCCTCCAGCGGCAAGGTGGCGGCACAGCTGCGAGTACTGAGGCGGGGCACGCTCAGGCACGCTCGCGCACAAGACACACACACACACACACTTTTCGGGCGGTGCGGGTGGGCAACTCGCCACTCCGTTGGGCACACGGCCGGCGGCCGAGCGCGCAGTAGTTAGGAGAAGCGAGAACAAAGAGGAGCTATGGAGTAATGGCTGGGAGCGGCGCCGGAGCGCCAGGGCAGCGGGCAGGGTAGCAGCGGGGGCGAGCGAGCATACACCAACACACACACATATTTATAGATATACATACACATATACACATACATACATACATACATACATACATACATACATACATACAGACAGACAGACAGACAGACCGACCGACCGACCGACAGACAGACAGACAGACAGACAGACAGACAGACAGACATCCATACATACACAAGCATCCATACATACATAAATGCATGCATGCATGCATGCATGCATGCATGCATACACACATACATACATACATACATACATACATACATACATACACATATATACATACATACATACATACATACATACATACATACATACATACATACATACATACATACATACATACATGCGTACGTACATACATACATACAGACAGACAGACAGACAGGCAGACAGACAGACATACGCTCTTACATACATACATACATACATACATACATACATACATACATACATACATACATGCATGCATGCATGAATGCATGCATGCATACATACATGCATACATACATACATACAGTTACATTCATACGACACACATACACACACACACATTGCTCCTCCCCCTCCTCCGCCTCCTCCTCCTCCGCCTGCTGCGCTTCCTCTTCCTCTACCCCCCCCTTATCTTCCGTTTCCACCTCCTCATCCTCATCCTCTTCCGCACCCTCGTCGTCCTCCTCCTCCTCCACCTCCTCCTCCTTCCCTCCTCCTCCTACTTCTCTCTCCTTCCTCCGCCTCCTCCTCCTCCTCCTCCTCCTCCTCTCCCTTCTCCTCCTCCTCCTCCTCCTCCTCCTCCTCCTCCTCCTCCCCTTCCTACTCCATTCCTTTTTTTCAGGACTATATTCGTGTCCCACCCCGAGGCCAGCCGAAAGGGCGGGCCGGGCGTTTTGCCTGAGACGTCCTCACCGTCTATGATCCGACAGCTTAAAAATTGCAGCAGCTTCACAGATTGAGGGCGGGTCGCTTTCACAATGTGGCTCTCGCCTTCGCGCCGCGAACATTCGTCTGAAGAGTTCGCAGCAGTTTCAAGGATTATGCATGGTTGACGTCGAAGAACGGTGTTTAGGCACTACGTTAGAATGTCAGGGCGCAGCAGTCACCTTGATTCGCGGTGTTGAGGGCCCAGGGACGCCGTTCTGGCGCCATTTAAGATCGTCAAGACGCAACAGTAGCAGTGATTCCCGGCGTTGAGGTCCCAGGAATGGTGTTCTGGCACAGTTCCGGATGTTCAAACGGTTGTCTTCCAACGGGGCACTTCCTTCAATGACCATGAATCCTTGTAGGGGCTAATGAAGAAGGAACTTGGAGGGAAGGTTTATTGCAATATCGTGAATGAGTCTTGGGTTTACACTGGTCTTCCTTATCATCCTCCATCTCCTCCTCCTCTTCCTCCTCCTCATCCTCCTTCCTCGTCCTCCCATCCCCCCTCCTCGACCTTCCACTTGACCACGTCATGATCTTCCCTCCCTCACCTCCATCTGTTCCCCCTCCTGTTCACCGTCGCGGTCCCATCATCACAATCAGCATCATCATCGTCGTCATCATCATCATCATCATCATCATCATCATCATCATCATCATCATCAGCATCATCATCATCATCATCATCATCATCATCATCACCATCACCATCACCATCACCATCAACATCACCATCATCATCACCATCATCATCCTAGTCCTCCTTCTCTTCCTCCTCATCATCATCGTCATCGTCATCGTCATCGTCATCGTCGTCGCCATCGCCGTCATCATCATCATCACCATCATCACCATCATCATCAGCAGCAGCAGCATCAGCATCAGCATCAGCATCACCATCATCTGCATAATCACCATCATCACCACCAACACCATCATCAGCAAAGCCTCATCATCATCGGCACGATAATCATTATGAAAATCATCGTCATCATCAACATTATCATCACAATCACCGACATCACCGTCATACACATAATCGTCGTCATATTCATTGTGGTCGACCATCGACCGTTATCGTCGTCATTGTCATTACCATTGCCATCGACCCAATCATCATGAACACAATCCTCGTCGTCATCATCAGCATCATCACCATCACCACCGTCACTATCAACATCACCAGCCTCGTCATCATCATGGTCATCATCAACGTCAGCACCAGCATCAGCATCAGCATGTGCGTTGTCGTCATCGTCGCCGGTGTCATCGTCATCGTCATCATCGCCATCGTAATCGGAATCGCCTTCGTCATCCTCATCGACGTCATCGTCACTGACATCGACATCACCAACCTCAGCATCATCAACACCAACCTGATCGTCATACGAATATACGTATCTGTCTTCGTTTAAATAATACACACCGCTGTATCCATCAGCACTACTACAGTGTTCGTCATCGCCGTGATCATCAATATTACCATCGTCAGCATGATCATCATCAAAATCATCAACAGCAGCAACATCGTCACCACCATCATCAACAACCTCATCATCATCAACAGTATCATCACCATCATCAGCATCATCATCGCCCTCGTCATCCTCATCATTATCAGCATCGTCAGCATCGTCATCATCATGATAATCATCATCGTCGACGACAACCTTCTCCCCCATCACACTCACACAATCTCCCCCTTGCCCCTCGCCTCCCCTTTTCATCAACCTCGTGGACGCGCCCCTCCCGCAGCCTCCCCTTTTCCACATCCACTTATCCTCCACTCTCCATCCGTTTGCCCCTCCCCCGCCTCCCCAACTTCTCCTCTCTCTTCCCCATTTCCCCTAATAATTCCATCCGTCCGATTTCCTACTCCACGCATCCCTTTCCCTCACTATCCTTCCTCCACCCTCCTTCAGCGTCATTCCTACACTCTCTCATACTATCACCCGCCAACTTGCACCTTCCAGTTGCTCCTCCTCCTCCTCCTCCTACTCTTATTGTTCCCTTATCATGTGTATCTTTACCGAATCATCTTCCTCGCTAGCATCATCCGCATCCTGTTGCCTGCCTCCCTCTTCCACATACCCATCCCTCGCCCATCCTCTCTCATCCTTCCTCTTCCTCGGGGCAAGGCAAGGTCCCGTACGAGCACGAAGCATGTTACGATACAAGAAGCGGAAGCAAACAAAAAAAATTGCACGTACTACATCTCCTTTGCTGCAACATGTCCACTGATGCTGGCGCGTGCATGGCTGTGCGTCGAAAAACGGGAAGGGACAGGGCGCGCGGCGAAAAAAAAGGGGGCGCACGACGGGCACGGACGAGAGGCGAGGCGAGGGGAGAGGGGGGGAGGGACAACGGACAGGAGGGGGAAACGACGGGGGAAACGCGAGCGGGAATCAGACGCCGCTGCGCCACGTCGTTCGCGGCCTGCGTCTGCAGCACTTCGGCCGGGCAGGCAGTTTTGCGTCGGCAGCGCCGCTTGGGTTCCAAGCCACGACTAAACTTAACAGCGCGTTCTGGCTCAAACGAACGAGTTTATCCTGCAACCAGGCTTTGCTCTTGATGACTTCCGTGACCACTTGCCAGATGGGTTTACGAGCTTGTGTTGCTTCGAGTATTGTCTTCAGCCTTCTGTACATGTCTGACCAGTCGTCTGTGCCCAGCTTGACATATCCCATCATGCAGCGTAACAGCTGCCGCCGTGCATTTGCATGCGACGTCGACGCACAAACCTGTCAGTGCGACGATGCCATCGAACTGCCGGGCACGGAGGTCGAAGTCGACGCGTCTGGGCCGAACTGAACGCATTAAACTTGCCCCGTGCACAACGAAGCCGATTTGCAAGCATAGTCCTGCCTCGAATCTTGAGGTCGCTGGGGAAGCGGCTTCCCAAGTACGCGCGGCAATTAGAAGACCCCACTACTTTGATGAAGTCCCCAGCTGCGCCGACTAAGACCTCAAATTCGTCATCGTACAAGTGCTGGTCCAAGGTAAAGATCTGGCTCTTCTTGGCGCCCAGCTCCAGGCCGACTCGCTGCCGCTCTTCGTTCAGCGCGTCGAGCATTCAGCGAGCCCCCCCAGACTGCTTGCATAGATAATCAGGTCGTCAGCGAAACGCACGTGCGACAGGCGTCTGCTGCGACACCCGGGCTCGAGCTTCAGGCCGCGGTCGCGCCAGCGGGTTTGCCAGCGCCGCATCGCCCTGTCCAGTCCGGCATTAAACAGCAGCGGGCTGAAAACGTCAC